TTAGTTTAGTTATTATATATATATATATATATATATATATATATATATATATATATATATATATATATATCTATCTAGCATGGCTTCAGTAGTGGCAACCCTTGCTTATGTAAGAGGCGTTCATTACCAGATTCTTTTATGGAATTTTCCGAAAGCTCTGTATACCTTTGCTAGCCTGTTGTCGATCTCTTTATCGATCTTCGCGTTGGAAGGAATGATGATGCCCGGAGAGTAGAACTGATGCTTATGTTCTGATTGTTCTGATTCACCTATGGTGATGTGAGAACGAAGGTAGTCATCTTATGGTGTAGAATGGTAGAGAACTTCTTCCTTCTTCAAGCTGATTTCTAGCCCAGAAAGCTTTCAGCTTCTGCAGAATAAGATGTTGAGCGCTGTAGAGTTGCTTCTGTATGAGCGACGAGAGCGGCATCGTCGGCAAAAAGTAGTTTTCGGACGTGATAATTTAGAGTTTGGGTATGAGCCTCAATGATTTTCAAGTAATAGCGTAATCATTTTCAGGAAATTGGAAGGACATCCTTGTGCTCACGGTGTCAAATTAGTGAGATCTATGAAGATCATACAGAGACTTTCGTTCTGTTTCCTGCATTTCTCTTGCAGTTGTGGGAGAAAAAATACTACATCTATGGTACTCCTACTAGCTTAAAACTACATTAGCTTTCAGGTAAAAGACAGCGGATACTAATCCGTTCAGCAGTATTCTTGCAGGGATTTTGCCAGCAGTAGAGAGCAGATTAATATCACGGTAATTTGAGCAGTCTGATTTTATTCTTTCCTTCTTATATGAAACTGCATCGTGGAGATCTGGTCTTTTATTGCCTTTTTTCCAACATCATATAACGAACTCGTGAAACCTAGCATGGAGTGCTTGACTTCCATGTTTCCGGACCTCAAGTTGAATACATGAAATTCAGTTGCCCTACCGGTTTCCACCTGCTGTATGGCCTTAAGCGTCTCTGCTATGGTGGAAACTCGTTTTTCACCGGTAATATGCTGAATTGCTGCGTCTTCAACTATATGGTCGGTAAACTGAAGAGAGTTTGGAAATGTTCAGATTATCGATTCAGAATGGAGGTTTTGTCAGTGAGAAGTGTTTGGCCATCTGTGCTGAATTAGCTTTCAGAAAATCTTTTCTGTAAAATCCTTTCTGATCACCCGAATCTGCGAACAGTTGAATCTTTTCTGTAGAATCCTTTCTGATCACCCGAATCTGCGAACAGTTGAATCTTTTCTGCTAGCTTAATCCGCCATTTATTCTAGATGTTTCGAAGTTTATGTTGGAGTTTGTTGCATGAAAAAAAGGCTACTTTTCTTACATGGAAAAAAGGCTTAACGAGGTGTGCTTGGTGAGCACATTTCTTCTTTTTTAACAATTTCTAGATCCCTTGCTTGTTTCCATCAAACCATCTTTGTCTCTCTTGAAGGAGAACCCTAAGGATTCCATGCAAGGTTACAGGATCTTGTTTCTAGTATGTTTCCAAAACGTTTCAGGAGAGGGATGATCTTTAAGTCTAGCCTGAAGATTTACCTGAAAGCTATGTTTAATCATAATTGTTTGAAGATGTTGATTTTGAGTCTTCTCCTTGGAATTCTGTCTCCCTCAGGTTTGGGTTTAAAGCGGAGATAAAGTTTGCATCGCACAAAGGATAGTCTATTTGACCTTCTGCACTAGGCATCACAATGTGATGAACATGGTGAACGTTTCTCTGCCG